CAGCACAAAGTGTGAAGCTGATTACATGAAGCATTCTCCAGTTATAACCAAAAAATCAATTTTTAATTACTTTAGAAAATTGACATATTGGTAGCTATGCAGCCTTTATCGTAAACTGCATCAACCTCTATAGCTTGTAACCATTCAGAAGATGATTTCTCAAGTTATCGCACTAAATAAACATTTTTTAATAAACATGACAATTTAGCATCTACGACTCCAATAACAGTCAGAACAATACTCTAATCTAGGATATAATAGTTGTGAAAGTTAAAAGCCCATCAGGCGAGGCGTTCTTTAGTAATCCCACAGAAACCTTGGAGGAAGAATATCTGAAAAAAAAACCTACTACCACCACAAGTCTGAAAAATGTTAGAGCTTGGAAAGAGAGAAACCTGAAAAAATGGGAAAAGTAGTTAAGAAAATATGAGGGAGAGAAAAAGGAAAACATCAGGAAAGACTCTTAAAAAATACATGTCAGAGTCCCGAGATTAACATGATCTTTAAGATCTTGTGCGATGTGTTCACCTTCACCATACACCCTCATACACCACACAACTACCACACCCTCATACACCACACAACTACCACACCCTCATACATCACACAACTATCACACCCTCATACACCACACAACTACCACACCCTCATACACCACACAACTATCACACCCTCATACACCACACAACTATCACACCCTCATACACCACACAACTATCACACCCTCATACACCCACACAACTATCACAACCCTCATACACCACACAACTACCACACCCTCACACACCACACAACTACCACACCCTCATACACCACACAACTACCACACCCTCATACACCACACAACTACCACACCCTCACACACCACACACAACTACCACACCCTCATACACCACACAACTACCACACCCTCACACACCACACAACTACCACACCCTCATACACCACACAACTACCACACCCTCACACACACACAACTACCACACACCTACACACACCACACAACTACAACACCCTCATACACCACACAACTACCACACCCTCATACACCACACAACTACCACACCCTCACACACCACACACAACTACAACACCCTCATACACCACACAACTACCACACCCTCATACACCACACAACACCACACCCTCATACACCACACAACTACCACACCCTCATACACCACACAACTACCACACCCTCATACACCACACAACTACCACACCCTCATACACCACACAACTACCACACCCTCACACACCACACAACACCAACACCCATACACCACACAACTACACACCTCATACACCCACAACTACCACACCCCCCCCCACCCAACCCTCATACACCACACAACTACCACCCCTCACACCACACCCACCCTCATACCCCCACACACCTACCACCCCCCTACACACCACACCACACAACTACCACCCTCAACACCACACAACTACCACACCCTCAACACCACACAACTACCACACCCCTCATACACCACACAACTACCACACCCTCAACACCACACAACTACCACACCCTCATACACCACACAACTACACACACCCTCATACACCACACAACTACCACACCCTCACACACCACACAACTACACACCCTCATACACCACACAACTACCACACCCTCATACACCACACACACCACACCCATACACCACACAACACCACACCTCAACACCACACAACTACCACACCCTCACACACCACACAACTACAACACCCTCATACACCACACAACTACCACACCCTCAACACCCCACAACTACCACACCCTCATACACCACACAACTACCACACCCTCATACACCACACAACTACCACACCCTCATACACCACACAACTACCACACCCTCATACACCACACAACTACCAACACCCTCATACACCACACAACTACCACACCCTCATACACCACACAACTACCACACCCTCAACACCACACAACTACCACACCCTCATACACCACACAACTACCACACCCTCATACACCACACAACTACACACCTCATACCCCACAACTACACACCCTCATACACCACACAACTACACACCCTCATCACCACACAACTCCACACCCTCATACACCACACAACTACACACCCTCAACCCCCAACTACACACCCCACACCACACAACTACACACCCTCATACACCACACAACTACAACACCCTCATACACCACACAACTACCACACCCTCATACCCACACCACACACACCTCATACACCACTACAACACACACCCTCATACACCACAACAACAACACCTCACACCCACACTACACAACCCCAACACCACACAAACTACAACACCCTCATACACCACACAACACACACCCTCATACACCACACAACTACCACACCCTCATACACCACACAACTACAACACCCTCATACACCACACAACTACACACCCTCATACACCACACAACTACACACCCTCATACACCACACAACTACCACACCTCAACACCACACAACTACACACCCTCATACACCACACAACTACCACACCCTCATACACCACACAACTACCACACCTCTACACACACACACAACACACACCTCAACACCACACACTACCACACCCTCAACACCACACAACTACCACCCCTCATACACCACACAACTACCACACCCTCATACACCACACAACTACACACCCTCATACACCACACAACTACACACCCTCATACACCACACAACTACCACACCCTCAACACCACACAACTACCACACCCTCATACACCACACAACTACAACACCCTCATACACCACACAACTACCACACCCTCATACACCACACAACTACCACACCCTCAACAACCACAACACTACCAACACCCCACTACACCACACAACTACCAACCCTCATACACCACACAACTACCACACCCTCATACACCACACACACAACACCTCAACACCACACAACACCAACACAACAACTAACACACCCTCATACACCACACAACTACCACACCCTCATACACCACACAACACACACACTCACACAACTACACACCCTCATACACCACACAACTACAACACCCTCATACACCACACAACTACACACCCTCATACACCACACAACTACAACACCCTCATACACCACACACTACAACACCCTCAACACCCACATACACCTCACACACACAACTACCACACCCTCATACACCACACAACTACACACCCTCATACACCACACAACTACACACCTCAACACCCACACAACTACCACACCCTCATACACCACACAACTACACACCTCAACACCACACAACTACACACCCTCATACACCACACAACTACCAACACCCTCATACACCACACAACTACACACCCTCATACACCACACAACTACACACCCTACACACACACACCACACCACACATACACCACACACAACTACCACACCCTCATACACCACACAACTACCACCTCCACCATACACCACACAACTACAACACCCTCATACACCACACAACTACCACACCCTCATACACCACACAACTACCCACACCCTACATAACACACACACAACTACAACACCCTCATACACCACACAACTACACACCACCCCACACACCACACAACTACAACACCCTCAACACCACACAACTACCACACCCTCACCACCACACAACTACACACCCTCATACACCACACAACTACACACCCTCATACACCACACAACTACACACACCCTCATACACCACACACTACCACACCCTCATACACCACCCAACCACAACTACAACACCCTCATACACCACACAACTACCACACCCTCACACACCACACAACTACAACACCCTCACACACCACACAACTACCCCCCACACCCACACACCACAACCTCAACACCAAATACAAACCCTCACACACCACAACAACTACAACACCTCTCACACCACACAACTAACCACACCTCATACACCACACAACTACCACACCCTCATACACCACACAACTACACAACCCCACTACACCACACAACTACAACCCCAACACCACACACAAGACCCTCACACACCACACAACAGACCCTCACACCCACTACAACAACTCCTCACACACCACACAACACTACAAGACCCTCACACACCACACAACTACCACACCCTCGCACACCACACAACTACAGCAACACTCATAACACTCACCTAACATACACACAGTCTATAACACCACACAACTACAACGACCCTCATACAACATGAACTAAGACCCACACACACGCACACTAACTAATGGTACGCTTCCACACACACACAATCTCATAACCCTCACACAACCACACTAACAAGTACACCCACTAGTCACAACTACAACTTATCATAACCTCAAACATCCTACAATATTCTAGAAAACACTCCTCAATCTACTACATATACACTGCAACAATCAATACTCACATCACTGTACCATCTATGACAGCTTACAAGATGCCCTCCAACACCACATCAACGAAGATAAACACACAAAAATGAAAAAAAGGTAGCTGTACAGAGCAACAGTCACTAAGACTCCACACCGGTCAATGGCGCAACTAACCCTCACACAACACAACATAACCCTTAGTCAGATTCAACAGTAAGCTCATCACTCATAACACTCAGAGACATACATTTCTAGGAAAACATACTTGACAACTTGATCTCAAGTCTCACAACTGTCAAAGATATCACATCCTGTTACTCTAATGCAAAGACACTAATGTACGATTTGACACACCATCAGGAAGATACTCACACCAAAACATAAAATGATCGTATATTTGGTTAATGGGTTAAAGTCGCATCAGTCTACACGAGGGTCATTATGGCGCACGTAACCCTTCACCACTAGACAAACATAATTTAACCTTGAGTAAATCTAAAGTAACATCTCACCTTATAATCAGGCATAACCTTTCAGTGTATATAAATTGTAGAGTGGTGATGTGTACGTGCTTGGGATTCTGGCGTAGAGTGTACTCACTTGGGATTCTGTTGCAGAGTGTACTCACTTGGGATTCTGTTGATGGCTCTGAGTGGCCGTAGGACTCTGATGGTGCGGATTGCTGACAAGTTCATGTTCTCCATGGCCAGGAAGTACTCCAGTCCCCTGTATGCATTACACTGATCAAGATCATAACACTAGACTTAAGATGGGTTAAAATAGGACGCAAAGTGAGCGAAACTGTCGGTGCGTAAACTGCGCCCAGATCGCTAACTCTGCACCTACGCAATTCTGTAAGTTTTATTTCAAATTTCGTACTTTTAGTGTCATTACCTTCAAAAAAATGATAGCCATATACTGATAGCTATCGACTATGAAAATAAATACCTGGGTTGTTATGCTATCGACTATGAAAATAAATACCTGGGTTGTTATGCTACCTGATCAACAATACTGATGGCAGTAGTAACGAACAACTGGTTTTATATTAGTTTTTTTTATGTTTGAGGAAGCCCCTGGGTGATAAATGAGAAATGCAGGAGCTATATACTGTATTTCGATCTGCATGTGAGATCCACTTCAACAGAGAGGACCTCAGTTAGTGATCCACTTCAACAGAGAGGACCTCAGTTAGTGATCCACTTCAACAGAGAGGACCTCAGTTAGTGATCCACTTCAACAAAGGACCTCAGTTAGTGATCCACTTCAACAAAGGACCTCAGTTAGTGATCCACTTCAACAGAGAAGACCTCAGTTAGTGATCCACTTCAACAGATAGGACCTCAGTTAGTGATCCACTTCAACAGAGAACCTCAAATGGTGATACACGTCAGAGAGGACCTCAGTTATTAGTGATCCACTTCAACAGAGGACCTCAGTTAGTGATCCACTTCAACAGAGGACCTCAGTTAGTGATCCACTTCAACAGAGGACCTCAGTTAGTGATCCACTTCAACAGAGGACCTCAGTTAGTGATCCACTTCAACAGAGGACCTTAGTGATCCACTTCAACAGAGAGGACCTCTGGTGGTGAACGTATTACGAAACATTCCTACACTTCAAATTTAAGTGCCTATCGGTTTACTCAAAGAAGCGTTCAATACACTTCATATTTACAACTCTCCCGATCTTTTAAAGTCGAGAGGCACATTACTGGATTTACGTTTGTAACATTACAAGTGAGGATAGAACTGAGCACTGAGCGGAGGGAACACACACACACACTCCCAGAACTGAGCACTGAGCGGAGGGAACACACACACGCTCCCAGAACTGAGCACTGAGCGGGGAACACACACACACATCCAGAACTGAGCACTGAGCGGAGGAACACACACACACTCCCAGAACTGAGCACTGAGCGGAGGAACACAACACACTCCAGAACTGAGCACTGAGCGGAGGGAACACACACACACTCCCAGAACTGAGCACTGAGCGGAGGGAACACACACACACTCCCAGAACTGAGCACTGAGCGGAGGGAACACACACACACACTCCCAGAACTGAGCACTGAGCGGAGGGAACACACACACTCCCAGAACTGAGCACTGAGCGGAGGGAACACACACACACACTCCCAGAACTGAACACTGAGCGGAGGGAACACACACACTCCCAGAACTGAGCACTGAGCGGAGGGAACACACACACACTCCCAGAACTGAGCACTGAGCGGAGGGAACACACACACACACTCCCAGAACTGAACACTGAGCGGAGGGAACACACACACACACGCTCCCAGAACTGAGCACTGAGCGAGGGAACACACACACACACTCCCAGAACTGAGCACTGAGCGGAGGGAACACACACACTCCCAGAACTGAGCACTGAGCGGAGGGAACACACACACACTCCCAGAACTGAGCACTGAGCGAGGGAACACACACACACTCCCAGAACTGAACACTGAGCGGAGGAAACACACACCCAGAATTGATCACTGAGCTGAGGGAACACACACACACACTCCCAGAGCTGAGCACTGAGCGGAGGGAACACACACACACACTCCCAGAGCTGAGCACTGAGCAGAGGAAACACACACACACTCCCAGAACTGAGCACTGAGCGGAGGGAACACACACACCCAGAACTGAGCACTGAGCGGAGGGAACACACACACCCAGAACTGATCACTGAGCGGAGGGAACACACCCACACTCCCAGAACTGAGCACTGAGCGGAGGGAACACACCCACACTCCCAGAACTGATCACTGAGCGGAGGGAACACACCCACACTCCCAGAACTGAGCACTGAGCGGAGGGAACACACCCACACTCCCAGAACTGAGCACTGAGCGGAGGGAACACACCCACACTCCCAGAACTGAGCACTGAGCGGAGGGAACACACCCACACTCCCAGTAGCCTCACTGAGGCTACTAAACCGTACAATATCAGTCAGATTTACGAAATACAGAAAAAATAACGTGTTTAAGCAACGCGTCCAGATATACTGAGAATTTAGAAACGTAAATCTGTAACGTGGTATTCTAAGTCAAAATTACACGCAATTATTTGACATAACTTCAGATCTCAAATGGAAGACAAATTATGAGTGTTCTGGAGACTTTACTAAAAGTGAGGAAATAACTTAAAATCAGATTCAAAATATATGAACACACGGTCCCTTATACAGCTCCTCTACACAGTGTAATTTTTCGTAAATACGACTGAACAAGAACATTCGAATAGCCCATGGTAAGGCCCTCGTAGTACGTGATATTCAATTACCGATGCAATTTGTAATAGCATTTATGAAAAAATGCACTAGAGGCGCTTTATAAGAGAGTTGACTGCATTTCAAAAAAAAAAAAAAACTTTACGAGTAGCCTAAGTTAGGCAAGGTTCATGAGGCCAGAAAGTAAGTAAGGGTCACCATAAACCTCTGTCTACCCTCCACCACAATATGGTGAGTCACTTGTTTGTACAATTTCAACCAGAAAACTCCTGTGATAAAGTGGCGACCATATATCTGACGTCCCCTTCACTCACTATAAATAAAAAAGAAATAAGAGATAAAAAAAATATTAAACAATCAAATATACAGTAACACAAAATAAAGAAATATACATCATAAGGAATGCAAAAGAACCACGGGGGAGCTGAATGATAACTTTAGTGTTGCAATCAACACACCAAGAGCTTGCAATGTTGCACAAAAGAGGATGTAGTCCAAGCAAACACATCAGAGGAAGCGCCTATATTATATATTATACATACATTCAAGTACTGTATTTGTTTAAATAGATAAGGCCAAAACTAAACGAAATTTTGTCAATGTCAGAGACGGCAAGGACAGGGGAAAGGGCAAGTACAGGGGTAAAGGCAAAGGCAGGGACAGGGCAACTGCAGGGGCAGGGCAACTGTAAGGGCAGGGACAGGGCAACTGCAAGGGCAGGGGCAGGGCAACTGTAAGGGCAGGGGCAGGGCAACTGCAAGGGCAGGGACAGGGCAACTGCAAGGGCAGGGGCAGGGGCAGGGCAACTGTAAGGGCAGGGACAGGGCAACTGCAAGGGCAGGGACAGGGCAACTGCAAGGGCAGGGCAACTGCAGGGGCAGGGGCAGGGCAACTGTAAGGGCAGGGGCAGGGCAACTGCAAGGGCAGGGCAACTGCAAGGGCAGGGGCAGGGCAACTGCAAGGGTAGGGGCAGGGCAACTGCAAGGGCAGGGGAACTGCAAGGGCAGGGCAACTGCAGGGGCAGGGCAACTGCAAGGGCAGGGCAACTGCAAGGGCAGGGGCAGGGCAACTGCAGGGGCAGGGCAACTGCAAGGGCAGGGGCAGGGGAACTGCAGGGGCAGGGCAACTGCAAGGGCAGGGGCAGGGCAACTGCAAGGGCAGGGGCAGGGCAACTGCAAGGGCAGGGGCAGGGCAACTGCAGGGGCAGGGCAACTGCAGGGGCAGGGCAACTGCAGGGCAGGCAACTGCAGGGCAGGCAACTGCAGGGGCAGGGCAACTGCAGGGGCAGGGCAACTGCAGGGGCAGGGCAACTGCAGGGGCAGGGCAACTGCAGGGGCAGGGCAACTGCAAGGGCAGAGGCAAGGAGGATGAAAATATAGTGGAAACCATGAAGGAGGAGAGAAGCAACTGGTGGTGATACAGGTAGCAAGGTGATGAGGAGGAGGGGAGTGATGTAGGAGGAGGAGGTGATGAGGAGGAGGAGGGAGTGATGGAGGGAGGGAGGGAGGTGATGGCGGGGGCAGGGAGGGAGGGAGGTGATGGCGGGGGGGAGGGAGGGAGGTGATGGAGGGAGGGAGGGAGGGAGGGAGGTGATGGAGGGAGAGGGAGGGAGGTGATGGGGGAGGGGAGGGAGGCGGGAAGGGAGGGAGGTGATGGAGGGAGGTGATGGCGGGAGGGAGGGAGGTGATGGAGGGAGGTGATGACGGGAGCAAGGTGATGGAGGGAGGGAGTAAATGGAGGGAGGGAACAGCAGAAGACAATAAGGTCACTAGCGTCAAGATAAAACAGTGAACTGGGAAGAATTAGTGAAGCAGAAGAATGGAGACGAGGAGGAAGAGTAAGAGGAGGAGGGGAGCAGTGAAAAGAAAAGTAAGATCAAAGAAGAAGGGAGGAGGAGGGGGGAAAGAGGGGAAGGGGGCAGTACATGCTCTTAGATTTTTGTGAATGAATTGGTCGTCTTGAAGCTCCTGGTCCCTGGGGAGGGAGAGGGAGGGAGAGGGAGGGAGGGAGGGGAAGGACAAACACTGATGGAGTGGGGAAGCAGGGGAGGAGAAGGGGGAAGATTATTACACCGGAAGAGGAGAGAAGGGGAAATAGTAGAGGACAGAAGAGAGAAAAGAGTAAATAAGAGGAAGAGAAAGAGCAAGAGTATGGAAGAAGGGCAAACTAGAGGAGGGATAAGAGTAGAAAGGGAAGAGTAGAAAAAAGGTGGAGAAAGAGTAGAGAGGAATGAGTAAAGATAAGAAAGTAGAAAAGAGGAGAGGAAAAGTTAAAGGAGGAAAATTAGAGATGTAAGAGTACAGATGAGAGGAAAAACTAGAGAGGGAAAATGAGCAAAAGATGAAATTAAACGGGAAAAAATGCGAATTTGAGGAGAGACAGAGAGGTGAGAGGAAGAGGAAAAAATAGGAGTGAAGTTAAGCTAACATAATAGAAGGAAACACGGAGATGAAAACAGGAAGAGACGGCAG